GGGAAAATCTGAGAATCGATAGAAGGGGTCGTATTGTCTCGCGGCTTTCCCTGCTTCACAAGTGCTATTTACCCCAACCCCCTCCCCTCGCCCCCGCCTCAACTTCTTGATTCGATGAGGAGGGAGGAGACGCCCGAGGGGGTCGTACGGACTCGACTAAAATCCGCAACCAGTGATGTGCCCCGCTCTCCCCTGGAGATTGTAGACTACTGCAGTGTTGCCACAAATTTGCACACTGGCCCCTTCACAAAGCACCGGCTTATCCGCCGAAAGCAGCCGGGTTATATCAGGGGGGGGGGTACTGAAAAGCAAGATGAGCGCTACATTAAAAGGCTACGGTGACCTTTCAATTTAGCTGACCGAGATTTTTGCCCAATGCCATACATTTTTCGAGCCCTGATTGGGTTATCGGCGTCCTGAAGGGTTTCTGGCCAGCTCTGATCTATGATAGAACTTGACTGTGGGAAACTTGTGTTAGGTGAAGTAATACGAATCTTTTTCAGGGTTCCTTTCCGGTCACCGCTAACTCTGTTCAATGCGTCGATCCAGAAGCGCATTGTGTCGCCATATGGACCGTTCGTGAAAACAAGTCTGAAGTACTTTTGCAAGGTAGGTTAGAGGTTCCTGGCGGCGGTTGGATCGCGTTCAGCATATTCGCGACTCGAGCCAATCAGTCGCGCGATTTGGGAATTTCGCGGCTGGGCCTGATCGCGCTTTACTGTTAGCCGTTGGACCGCTGCAACTGCTGATTCCATTACGGTCAGGACAAAACGTATTTCGAATTTTGCAGCGGTCCAACGATTAGCGGTGAGGCGCAGTCGGTTGCAGCTCCACGACTGAATCGCTTGAGTCGCGAGTATACGCGCGGCTTTGCGGATTCTTTTCAAAAGGGTAGGAGAATACGCGCAAAGGAAAACTGCCGGTATCGATTAGATCAATGGGAAAGATGGTAGAATACGCTAAAGAGACGATGGGGATCTATCGATCTATTCGCTAGCGAATTGGGAGAATAGGAGGACAGGTGAAAAGGAGTCGGACAAGTTCCCGTCTATTTCTTTGGCGGGCACTCTCCTGTTCCAACATTCCAACTTCTGTATCGTCCCAGGGGGCGATGCCAGAGGGTTTGGGTGGGGCCCGCTCGCCACTGCCTCTTCTGCCAGTAGTGACCAAATTAGTGATAAATCGGGAGGAAAATAACCAGTGGTAAGGATCTCTACGGGTGAGCTCATTCCATGCCTCCTGACACCGCCTCGTCTGATCGCGGCAATATCAATTGCACCTTCCTTTGCTGCCGCATTCTCCAATTCTCAAAAATATTCTACTCTCCCCTGCTTCAAGTATAAATCGATGATTCTTAGGCTGCGTTTATACTTTGCGGCAGCGTAGCGTAGCGTAGCGCAGCGTAGCGTAGCGCTTCCAGCGTACGCCAGCGGCAGTGCCGAAGAGAGGATGCATATCGATCTAGCTTCACCAGCGTCACCAGCGGCACGCTGGCGTACGCTAGCGTACGCCAGCGTTTCTCCAGCGTTTCACCAGCGTTTTGCTAGCGCTTGCAGCGGCAGGGAGTAGAGACTATGTGGCCGTGAGAGACGCGGAATCGACGTGTATTGTAGAGACCATGTGGCCGTCGGAGACGCAGAAGCGATGTGCATTGTAGAGACTATGTGGCCGTCGGAGACGCAGAAGCAATGTGCATCGTAGAGACTATGGGGCCGTCGGAGACGCAGAAGCTATGTGCATTTGTTAGAGACTAGGGCGATGTGAGAGACGGCGCAATCGATGTGTTTTGTACCCTCCAGCTCTCCCATAGTCTCTACTCCCCTGCCGCTGCAAACGCTAGCAAAACGCTGGTGAAACGCTGGAGAAACGCTGGCGTACGCTAGCGTGCCGCTAGCGTACGCCAGCGTGCCGCTGGTGACGCTGGTGAAGCTAGATCGATATGCATCCTCTCTTCGGCACTGCCGCTGGCGTACGCTGGAAGCGCTACGCTACGCTGCGCTACGCTACGCTACGCTGCCGCAAAGTATAATCGCGATCTTAACGTTCCCATTGGTGACTGCGGCGAACGGCACCCAGCAAGTCAAAACGTCTTCAAAAGCGTTCAAAATAACGTTTAGGTTGCTGGAACGTCGTGCAAGATGCCTGTTCAGGACCTGACATCTGCTCCAGCGGAAATCGTATTTTCCAATCCTCACGAAGTACAGTCATCCCTCCTTCTCCTTCATTTCTCTCATTTTTTGTCACATTCCAAGTTACAACTAAATTAACCTGAAGTTTCTGATTTTCGCAACTGAGTTTTAGGTGGATACCCCACCTACATGTGCTGTTGCCGACCGAGTAACTGTAATCATATTAACCGCATCGTCGTTGGCCCTTTATATCGCCAACGATCGAATGAGACCCATGAGAACAGTCGTGAAGATCATCAGGAAAAAGGTGAGCTTAGGATATTGCTTCCGCAGCTCTGCTGCGCTAACGTAGTTGGGGAGGGGGGGGGGTATTCAGCCGCATGTGTATCCTGTATTCTCTCCTTAGAAAAGCTTAGGTTTTTACGGAAACCTTTGCCCTCGGCGAGTCCGTCTCGGAGCGCAGACGGATTCGCGAGGGCAAATCCCACAGAGAACACATTCTCTGCACTACTAAGCCCAAGCTTTGATTAGAGTAAAGGATATGAAGACGCTGGTGAATGGACCCCCTGTTCAATGTTCAAACCATAGCCAAGATATTAACAGATTTATTTGGCTGATGTTTCGGCCTAGTCGCCTTCGTCGGAGCCTGGAAAGTCAAAGATAAGGTGACCTACCGCCGAATGCCATTTCAGACGAAAGAGCAGCTCACCAAAGGCGTCTAGGGAGGTCTCGTAGCTCACAAGCAGGATCCTCCTGCCCCCACCCGAACTATGTTGGCGCCGCTCCGTGTCTACTGCACTCGAGTTGATGGTTCTGTTCGTTTTCACATCTTTTCTTTTTAATGATGGTTGCTTTTTATCGCCTTGTAATGCCTCAACGTAATCCCCCTCCAATAATTTTATTTTTTACGTCATTTTTAGACTCTAGGATGACGATATTGGTGTGGATTTCGTCAATGCTCAGCGTAGCAATTCTCCTGCTAGCTGCAAAGCGTTACTATCGAACGCGACGGCAAGGCCAGAGTGAAACGGCTGAGGTCTTACGACGACTGTCTGCGAGCGGTGTGGCACCAGTACCATGGTCAGCGAAGGCCATTCCAAGTCAATCAGGTAGAAATTTTGAATATGAAGAGATAGAAATAAGGGGTCCTTCTATCATACAGGTACCGCTTATCGTCTGGCTGCAACTCGTACCTCTTGCTCGATGCGGGGCGTCCCAGTGGACTGGGTTTGGCGTTGCGTCAGTCCGTTCTCCACCAGTTGTTCAAGTGGGCAAGCGACAACAGTTGGTAGAAAACGGGCTTACGCCGCGCCGAACCGTGCCCCCCCCCTCCCCCTTTCTCCTGACACGTCCTAGCATCCGCAGGAACAAAACTAAACACGCAATATCCTGTAATATGATGGTCGCATATTTCATTCGAATATAACGAAGAATGCGTTTTTCGAGATCCAAAACGGCAACATTCCAGCAAAAGTGCAGCCGTCGCCACTCTTACATGAAGTGTCAGCCACGCCCTCCCTCTCTGTGAGATACATAGGGCGCGATGAGCAGCCTACTAGCTTCAATCTTTCTAATGTTACCACAGCTGAATCCATTTCAGACACTTCCGTCGAAGAACCTCTTCTTGAGGATCACGATCCGTTTGTTGCGTCGTTGCAACTTCTAGAACGAATCGGTAGCGGACATTTCGCTGACGTCTTTCGTGCATCATCCAGTAAGCTCAGTTGTTCACTTATTCTTGGGTTTCTTAGTGTGGGTTCATATAGGTGGACATAGCAGGGTCTTGCCATGCACATTTTGCCGAAGTATATCCGTTTGCTGACGTAATAAGGCGCTCGTAAAGACTGCCGCGCGCGGTCGCGTGGCGGTGTCCACTTCGACTAGTTTTGGGAATTTCGGAATAACCCGTTGAAGCTGCTTAGCTTACAGATAGAACAGCCCGATTCGTCTGAATTGTGCACGACTATCGCCCACATGGTCTAAATTGTGCACGACCATCGCCCACAACTCTTCTAAACAATATTTCAGACCTAGGCGACGTGGCAGTGAAGGTGTATCATGCGGATCAGGCAACCTTTGACAACGAATTCGACAATCTGACCCTACTTCAGTCTTTGAAGCATCCAAATACGGTACAGTTGGTGAGTACGGACAAAATGAAACATTCGCTTCTTTCTGCGTTTTATTAGCTAGGAAGATCGTGTTTGGTCGGTAGAGGGAGATAGATCGTATTGCCCCTCCCAACTGCAGTTTTTTTTGTGGGAAATTGGAGAAACTTTCCGAAAAAGTTTTGGACAATTCGAGAGAATTGAGGAATTTATGTAGGTGGTAGGTGGGATGAGTGGAGTGCCGTACCGAGAGCAGAAAAATTTGCGGGGAGAATGGTGGTATTTTGCAAAATTTTTCACAAGCGGCAAAACGTGCTCTGGTTCCCCCCCCCCTCCCTACGCAGTACTTGGCTAGCTACTCTAGTAAGAGATAAGTTTCAGAAAAGTTCGTGAAGAAGCTGCAGCATCTCGTGGTGAACTACTACGTCTTCATGACAGCTTCATTTCAGATTCGTGCAGATGTCGCTACAAAGGGTCTGGTATTGCAGTTATACTCCGGCTCTCTGCATTCACTTCTTGAGGAACATTCACTGGATATGACCGATTTCTTCGATTGTGCCATAGCCATCAGTGACGGGCTTGCATTCTTACATTCACACACTAATGTTGAGTCATTCATTCAGATCGCCTTTGATCTTATCCCTAACCGTTCGGATTTGTCAGCGGCGAGGTAGGCAAGCTAGCGTTCAGACTTCGCGACGACAGCGCTTCGGTCGCGCGTTCGACGCGATCAATGCAGTCGAAAGCATGCGCATCGATCGCGTTGAACGCGAGACCGAAGCGCTGCCTTCGCGAAGTCTGAACGCTGCCTGAGCAATTACAGGGCACATCATCAGGATGAAACGATATTCTCCAATTTTTTTTCGACCTTCCCGTCACCTCCTATCATACTGGCTCTACTGTGATCACCATCATCCCAGCTACCCGATAGACACTGCTCGTGATGATTCAAATGCAGCGAATTCAAGGCAGGGCACATCATTGGTCAAATAGCACATGTGAAACGGGAAAAGCCGCGAGAGAAATACGACCCCTCCCCCTTCTACCAATTCTCAGATTTTCCCCAACTTCCTGCCACTTTTCCAAAATTTCCCGAAAATTTCCCTACTTTTTCCCAAAAATTTTGCTGTCGAGCGGGGGGGGGGTATATAGTACACATGAAACAGGAAAATCACGAAAAGTCAACCACCTCTCCCAGAAGGCCAGAAAGTAAATACGACCCCCCCCCTTTTACAACGTCCGTGAAGCGAGAAAAATCAACTATCAAAATAAATTTTTCTCAATCCAAATACGACCTCCTGTTGGGGTTTCCCCAACAACGATGTGCCCTGATTCAAGGTATCTTCAGCGAGGGGATTGCTTTCCACTTGCTGAGAGGGGTTTACATCAATGTTAGGGGTGTGAAGGTATGGGTAGTTTGACCATCTGTGTCAGTCACAGTCACTATCTCACACTCACTAGGCGCAGGAATACCTGGCGCATGCGCTACGGGTGTCTGCGCAAGTCGCCCGAAGCGCCTCGCGCCTGCGCGAATACGTCAAGTATTTTCGCGCCAAGCGGGTCAGATATTTGTATTCAGCGGGTCTCAGGGACAGACTTTTGACTTGTTCTACCCATGGTAGTAAGGCTTGATTCGAATCTGTCCTGAATTTCAAACACTTTCACAGGGCAGAAGAGGGCGAAGAGTGCCTTCGATGTCAGCTTCTACTGTGTTGTGAAGGTATTTCCATTCCAGGTGGAGTTCCGAAGCCAGTGATAGCTCATCGTGACCTGAACCCGCACAATGTTTTGTACAGCCGTCAAGGTGGTGCAAGAATACAGCTTTGTATCGCCGATTTCGGGTTATCGGTCTCATTTCCAGAAGGCCGACCGGCAAAGAGCCTTGAGCTTCTGACCGAGGTGAGGAAGCAATCCATGTATTACTAGCTATAGTCTCATTCGCTGCCGACGGTGGGGCATTCCAGGAGCTGAGTTTGGCGTCGTGCCAGCTCATCCTCCACCAATTTTGGAAGCCAGTAGGTGACCACAAGTGGTGGAAAACTGGCTGGTGCCTCGTCAAACCCATGCATGGAACGCCTCTGGAGTTGAGCTTCCGCAGCGAACAGGTCTGTATTTCCTAGTGCATGCCAATTCGATTGTTTTAGAGAGGCACCGTACGTTATATGGCCGTGGAACTCCTCGAAGGATCAGTAAATCTATTGGATCCGATGACGTCATTGCTCCAGACTGACGTCTATTCCTGTGCTTTAGTGCTGTGGGAGCTTTTTTGGCGGTGCAGAGATGTCTGGCCTGCTGGTGGTAAGTTGCAAGTTAGATGTGGTTTGTGGGAACCTTCATATCGAAAAATCCTGTTATATGCACTGCCGGTGTCCGCAGTACTGATTGCCTTTGTCATGGGCCCAAAGTTTCAAGGTTCCTGAAAATGAAATTGCAGAAATCCCATCGCATCGAGTTGCTTATGACAATTTGGTGCCACGGAATCCCCGATTGGAACACATGTATCAGGTGGTGGTCCGTGAACGACGACGTCCCGACATACCGCCTGCGAATTCAAAAGCTGAAGTCAATGTCGAATCCAACGGTAGGTGAACTCCTGAAAACTGCCAGCTGGACATTCGAGGATGTCGTGACGTCGCGAAAGCGACGTTGCGTCTTCGCGGCAATCGGCACAGGAGCATGGACAGATAGCGCATTGGGGATGTGCGAATGTCGGTGTGAGTAGACCCCCCCTCCCGAATTCGGAATGAGGTCAGGCCGCGAACCCCTCCTCCGACTCCACGGCTCTTCGCGACCGGACGAGCCGCAGTAATTAGCGGCGAATAGGTCATATAAAAAAAATTAATACGACCCCCTTTTTCCACAAGAAAAAATCAACTATCAAAATAAATTTGTCTTCCAAATACGACCCCCCTCCCCAGAGCAAAAGTACGACCCCCCAGAGCAACAAGTACGACCCCCCCATGGGTTTGACACAACGATTGCTGTATTACCAAATGGATAGGTCACAAATGGTTCATTACATCAAGGGAACTGGCTAGGGAATACTAGCTAGTTAATGCGCCCTTGCAATCTGCTCGGTGGTCGCAGTGAAGGCGGCATGTTTAAGCACACCATAATTTCGACTCTATGTGAAGAACATAATGTGCTTAGCGAATCTCTAACGGGAAGTCGTATTTGGTCACTGATGGAAAAGGAGGGTCGAATGGGGCTGGGTATATTTTTCTGACTGTTGATTTCCAGTCTCACGCACATATAGACGCTCTGGTCGACGGAGCCACAAATGTCGCGTAGTGTGTTCAGGGGGTGTCTACTCTCCCGCATACTTAACATCTCTAACAGTGTCCCCCTCCCCTAGAAAAAGATTTGCGTAGGAGTGGTGGTACTTAGTGAAAGTTCTTCCCAAAGCCAAGACGTGCCCTGCCTCATGTTCTCCCTTAAACATGTGCTCCGATCGATATTTTTTAAATCTTCCATGGATGGAATAACGGCTAGTGATCAGGGTACAGCACCTCGTGATGTGTGAAATGATGATGTCAGTACGACACCCCCCTCCCCCTCTAAGAGAGGGTATCTGTATGCCCACGCCCCCACCCCCTTTCCCCAACACCCTGCCTAACCCGACTTTCTGATTCACCATTATTTCCACTAAATACTTTTCCGTCGAGCGGGGGCGGGGTGGTATAATAGACCAATGTGGACGCCAGAAAAAGTCACAACTGGGGAAAAATTTTCCCAGCGAGCGCCCAAATTTTCTCGCTTAGGCCATCATACAACACCCCCCCCCTTCCAACTCAAATGCGAGCCCCCCTCACCAGCGGAAAAGTACGACCTCCTCATGTGTTTCACACAACGATGCTGTACCTGTACCCTGCTACTGATACTCTCACAAGGTGCACAGGCTGGTCATCAGATCGTGGATCCAAGTCCGCTTATGCCAACCAGTTACTTCAATGGCACAGGGTCGGTTACGGGTACTCGACATGAATGTGAGAGAGAAACCCGGGCATTTACATCGGCGATCCTCATAATTCATTGCAGGGGCCAGTTTGTTCCCAGAACTGTAGGGTTTATACTGTTTCAACTTGTGTAGTAGAGGTTGAGGTATACTTGCAAAGAATTTAGAACAAAGGTGATGTGCATGGCGCATCCCGAAAATGAGGTAATTAGAGCAAGGTAATACTGCTGAACCCATAAACTTTCAGAGTTTGGTCGAATTGTGGTCGTCCATTACCGAAATGTGGGAACAGGAACCTGAAGGTCGAACAACAGCCGCCTGTTCAGCTGATCGATTGCGGCGACTTAGAAGAAGTCTAGATCCAACGGGTGCGGAACGTGATCAATAAATTACGACGGAAATACGTGTGCAATAAAATTTCTTCTACCATAATTGGTGCATAGGAGCTGATAAGTTTTTTCAAACTCTCTTCCTCAATTTTCAAAATATTATATCGATGGATTTGTTAAGTTCTCGTGCGCCATGAGAATGTAAAGTGAACCTTTTTGTCTTTTCGATTCAGACGTCCTCTTGACTAGCTCAAAATCCCACTGTTCAACCAGGGAAGTCCGCCAACTTACCATGGAACTTTGAATGGAGACCTGGGTAGATCGATAGTCTATAGGTTATTTACAAATATAGATAGCAAAACTGCAACCTGCATTTCACAAGCAACTTATGAGCAGGTAAAGTTTGTAATGGTGCAGTAGGGTGGAGGCTTGGTGGTGAGCTGTGAAGCAGGCGAGGAATCGCATACGTCGAATCGAGTCGTGAACGTCTGAACCTTACCACCACGCCTCCACCCTACTGCACCATTACAAACTTTACCTGCTCATAAGTTGCTTGTGAAATGCAGGTTGCAGTTTTGCTATCTATATTTGTAAATAACCTCATTGAACTTTGTAAATAACCCATGCTACCTACCACTTCCTAGATTTCCCAACTTCCTACCACTTTTTCCATTCTTTTTTTCCGAGAATGTTCTGGTTTTTCCTCAAAATTCCGCTGTCGAGCGAGGAGGGGGAAGGGGGTTGGGGGGAAGGTCGTCAGGATTTAGCTATCACTTTCAACTATCGGAAACAGTAGTTATGTAATGGCAGTCCCTATCCCATCAAAAAAATTTTCCCAGACCAAATATGACAACAGTTTGATGTGATCAGCTTATCGAAGGCTTCAGATAAGCTAATGTAAATCACGTCAACTGATTTCCCCTGATCAAATGCTAT